TGCTTCTTGTCACCTGGCCTTGCCCTTGCTCCCAGCTCATCACCCTGGGCTGGGGGCCCCTCCATTCTTCTGTGCAGTCATGTTCCATTCTGCACCCTCAAACACCTTCTGCTTGGCCAACTCTCTTCCACCTCTCTCACCCATCTTTCCTCACCAATGTCTCCAGCATCTTTCTCCAGTCCTCTCGCCCAGTTTCCCAAGGTGCCCCCTTTTGCTGCCATGGCTCCTTCTGAGAGCTGGCTCCCCTGGCACTACCCACTCTATGCCTGTCTTCCTAGCTGTCATTGTCATGGAAACCGACTGAGCTCTGACTCTGTTCCCGGACCTGGTCTGCCTACTCCACGTCTGTCAGCTCATTAAATTGCCACAGCCGCCCTTGAATTTGACAGAAATGAAGAAAGATCTTTTGCAGAAGAAAGGTCAAGTTACCTGCTTCTGTAAGGTCACAGCCAAGAAAACCCTTCTGGGGCAATTCTACTCTGCAGTCCCTGGGGTTGCCCCGGGTCCACACTGACTTAATGGCAACAGGGTGTGTGTGTGTGTGTGTGTGTGTGTGTGTGTGTGTGTGACCACCGTGGGTTAAGGGATGCCTTCTGGGAAGAAGAGCCCACCTTAGCATCTGGAAACAAGACGGGCTGCCAACCTCCAGTACCCAGGGAGTAGGCCCTGGGCCTATGCTGCTGGCCCTTTACCCTAGCCCCTTGCACAGGACTTAGCCCACACCAGTGCCCGATTCATATGTAAACTAGACCAATGAATGATGGATGGAGAGTCCCTGAGGGACCAGACTTTCAGCCCTGGTTCTATACGGTCCATGGGGTTGAACAGATGTGGCTGCTACATGTCAGACATCTAGACCCAACCCTTTCAGCCTTGTTTCCCCAACCTAGAAAGGGCACACTAATCCATGCCAGGGCTTACCGAGAAGATTGCGTTATTTTCATGTAAGTTTTTAAATGGTTGTACAAGGCAGCCTACCCACCCCTCACCCACCCCCAACCAATAAGTGACATGTGTATCAGTTGCCACCCCAACTCCAGACAGGGGAAGAGGGACCAGGTGGCCCCTTCTGCCCAGCCAGCCCCTGCTGGAGCATTGGGTGGACCCTAATGTTACCCACCCCTTGGGGGTCCTTGCAGCGCACTTCTGAGGTGCCCCCCAGGGAGGCCGGCAGGCCCCACCTTCCTCCTCCAGGCCCGTCCTCCTCCAGGCCCGCCCGCCTCCCGCCTTGCTCCGGACGCCTGCAGCTCTCTACGAAGGCTGTGCGCCTGGTCCCGCCCTTGGGCTCATTATCTGTTTCCGCGTCAGACCGCCGGGGAACTTGGCAGCCCCTCCCGCGGTGTTCGAGAACACTTTGTGCCCTGCGCCTGCCCCCCTCCGCCCCCGCCACCACGCCGGGCCCTCCCTCCTGCCGGCCCGGATGCCTGGAGCGGCCCAGAGTTTGGGTCCCTTGGCAAGGGGACCCGCACCCACATCGAAGCCGCGGGCGGGGAGGGGGCGCGGGGGCACGCACTTGTCCTCGTCTCCCGGAGCCCGGGTCACATAGGTGGCTCGGCGCCCGCGGGCTGGATGTTAGAACATGAATCCGCGCGTAATCGAGAGGTTCCGAAAGGTGCAGTGGCCCGTTTTAAAACAAAGCCCAATTCTCAGCCTGCGGCGGCTGTTTTTTTATGCCCGCCCTGGTCCAGTCCTCCGCGCGCGGCGAGCGACCAGCGCCAACAACCAGCAATCGGCGCGCAGACTGGGCTCAGCCTTGTCGCCCGCTGCAATGGGGATCGCCGGCCTGGGAGGGGCGGCTCGGCACCGGC